ATCTTCTAGTCTCTTCTTTTTTGTTTTGTTTTGTTTTTCTTCCAGGCTACAGATGCAATTAGTACCTGTAAAAGTCAGAAATGATTGCTGCAAACTCACAGCTGTTTTGATAGGATTTGGGCTGGGAACAACTAGCTCTGTTAGTAAGTGGCATTATTAATGTGACTGGAAATTAAAGAACCAATGAGAGATATTCACTTAATGCCAAAGAAATTAATGGAGAACTACGCTACATGGACAATGTGTTTGGTGCCAGCTCCACAGTCCTTTTCAGATTCCTTGTCCTAATGAGTTACCAAAAAAAAAAAATTGATTATGGCTATGAGGATAAAACTATATAGTCCTGGCAAACTGAGAATGGAGTGTGACACTCAATTTGGCAGGGGATATAACAACTGCTTTCCAATAAAACCTCAAGCCCTTCTTGAATGTGTTGGAGATGCTGCAGGATCCCAGCTGCCGCCTTGGGCTGCCGCAGGAGCCGACCCCAAAGCTCTGTCACGTATCTGCCTCTGCCGGAGGATTTTTCTAAGTAGCTATTTAAGCCTGCTGGGGATGTTGGGGTATAACTTGATCTGCTTCCCTCTTCTTAAGTGCCATTATAACCACTTTGATAACCACTTTCAGAGGCCTCACAGTGCAAGTTATGCTAAGGTCTTGCTGAAGACTTAGAACTAAAGTCCAATTGTTATACTTTAAAGAAGGCAAACATGATAAATCTGGAAAAAAATATAAAGTATTACCTATCTGAATACTGCCCAAATGGGTAGTGGCATAATTTTCCTTGGAGAAAAAACACTGCAGGGCTGTTTCTTCTGCTGCTGTGGAAGTCCTGGCGCTTTTACACCTTCAGACTCTTGCCCATGCAATAGTCTGTCTGACTCCCACATTCTTCTTGCTCCTACTGCTTTTTGCAGTGAAATGGAGGCATTTATTACTTGGTCTTGTAGCTCAGTCTTGTATTCTGCCTTGTAGCTTGTTGCTAATGCAAAATAGTGCTTTCTGTGTTGGCATGAGGTGATTCTCTGAATCTCTGAACGTGCTTAGTACGGGCTACGTGAAATAAGATATGAAAACACTGCTTGACCTCTGGTTGCTCTTTACTTCCCAGCTATCAAATTGCGAGCCTCAAAACTACTTGCAAATTAAGAATACTTCACCAAGTTGTCTCTAAAGCAGCAGCTTAACGTTCCTGGGGGCCTTTCATCAAGTTTGCAGGTGGAAAGGGCTGAGGGACCAAGACAGGCCAGGGGAATGGACCAAGGGGAACTTATCCAATTGCCACGGCTGGATGCAAGGAGAAATGCTCCTCTGGGGGCAAGCCAATGGAATGGGGCCCAGGGAGGTTGGGTGGCCTCTATCCATGGATGTTTTCAAAATCCAACTAGGGAGAGCCCTGAGCAGCTTGGTTGGGCTTCATAGTTGTCCTACATTGAGAAGGAAGTTGGACTAAAAACCTTCCAACCTGAATTACTCTGATTTTCTATGGAATTTATTAGGCGTATTCTAAAAATTCTTGTTTGTCCTCTTAATATTCCCTGCTTTTTCCTTTTTCTCCTGCCATACAGGTTAGTGTAGTGAAATCTGCAGGGTGTTTGCCTCTCTTTTCTGTTGCCCGTTCTCCTCGTGCTCTCCCGGCACCCACAACGTGCCCTTTGCCACGTGCTCTTTTTCCTCGGGATACCAGGGCTGTGTGAGGCTCAGACGTGGGACATGGGGTGAATTGTGGTGTTGGAGCCAGCGGAGATGCAAGGATGCCTTGGAGCAAAACCTCTTTTCCCTAAGAAAGGAGCATTTTGACATGAAACTTGCTGAAGCCTCCCCTCTTTTAAGCAGAACGGCCTGTCTTTTTTTGTTTTATTTTAAAGGGCATTGAAAGGAAACGATGTCCATGATAATTCCTGACCAACTTCTCTCTGTCTTACATTAGACTTCTGGGTTGTGATTAATGGAGTTTATCCCACTAATCCAGGCTGCTTTTGGGAGGGGGAACTTTAGCCTTTCAGTGCCCATGGTTTTAAGCTAATTCGGTTTGCAACTAACTGCTACTGGTTTCAGCTTTTCCAACTTAAGAAATTCTTTTCAAAGCAATGTTCCTTTATAGCTCTATTTGTAGAGTTTAGCTTAAAACTGGTCAGCTTTGAAAAATAAACCTTCATGAGAGCTAGTGTAAAGCTTTCAGTGTGCTATTTTATTTATCATCATAGAATGATAGTGGTTGGAAAAGACCTTTAAAGCAAAAACGACAAAAAAACAGATTTTTGAGAATTTACATTAGGATTGGATTTTGACAGTGACAACTACCTTGATGCTTTAGCCTTTGCCCCTGGGCCTTTTGAAATGCTCACGTTATCACGATAATTTTTATTTTCGTGTTTAAGATATTTATACAAGAAGATAAGCTGGTCCACAGGCTTTGAAATCCTAACTCAAGGAAATGCTCTGAGGAATTTAAAGAAATATTTTCTTAAACAGAGAGAAGCAGTAAGGATCATGTCACAAACTGTCTTGAGGTCGGATTTCTAATGCGATCAAATGCATAACCCACAGCATGAAATGAGAGTGTTTTTTGGATGATATTTTCAGTGATTCATTTTTGTTTCCTAGGAAGCGTTAAGTAACTTCAATCAAAAATTGCAATTAGCAAAATAAATGCCTGAGTTATGTTTTGCAAGATTGAGGCAATCCATGAGAGCATTAAGTGTGAAATACCCACGTGTTGCTGCATTCTTGCAGGCAAGCAGCGCTGCCTGCCCTAAAAAAGTTAGGGAAGAGGCTGTGTAATCTGATCTTTAAAAAGGCAAAATTCTGTGTCTAATTATGATAGTGTGAAATGTGGTTTTCGTGTGCTTGCCACAAACAGGAAATTATTCCGTTTAACTCCCTGTTTGCTGGTTGATTTCCTATGAGCAACCTGAAGAGAGACTTTGGCTTTCAGGATTTCATACTCGTAGTGCCTCACCATTTTTGTTTAATTTTGGGACTTTTTAAGCTACCTTATGGGAAATGTCCAGCTTTGGTTGTAGAGCCATTTGAGAGCCTGAATAATAATGCCTTTTTATTTCAAGGCACCAAGGACAATAAAATCTATTTTTAAATTTGCACGTCACATTTTCTAGCATTTAAGATCTGCCGTCAAGCAGTGGAAATCCCTGGAGATTTGGGGAGTTGTTTTATTTGCATCATTTTCCCTAATGAAAAGGGGACGTAGCTCATGCACCCGCCTCTCCCTGCGCTTCCGAGCCCTCCTGCAGCCCCTGTCTCCTTGCGGAGCGCCTTTCCCGGTGCTCCAGAGGCGCTGCCGGAGCTGAAGCTGGCTGACCTCTATATTATAAATGTCAGGTTTTTTTCTCCCTTGCCTTCAGCTCTGCCTTTTTGAAGCCTTGTTGAGGAGCTGGTGTGCAGGCCGAGCCTTGCTGGGCTGCAGCAGCCGGCGGGATCCCTTGTGTTTCACAGCTGGATATCGACTGCATTCCCGATGGATCCGCCTTGCTTACGAGCCTGACCTTGGCTGCTGTGTGTTCACAGGGGCTGTCAACACTGTCCCGTCCAAACAGGGTGTAGGTTGAGGGAATCCAACTTCTTGGGGTCCAAATAATTGTTCAGAACCCTCAAAATGTAGCTGTGAGAAGGTGTTGTACCAGTTCATCCACTTCTTTGCAAACAGCCCCTGTGGGTGTTCACTGGACAGACATCAATATTCTTACTATTTTTCTTTCTTCTCCCCACGTATGTCCAGGCTAATATGGCTGACATTACTGCAACTGTTTCTCGTTATCACAGATAATTAATAAAAGTAATTTTAGTGAGGTGAGTGCTACTTTGGCAGATGTGGAGATGTCCTTTTTTGGCTTCAGAAAGGTGCCAATTCTTAAAAAATAAATTCAGTGACTTCTCTGGGGAATCCTCTTTGCCTCACACTTGTGTCCTGTGCAATGTGTTTACCACATTCTTCCAGAACTTGGCAAATTAAAAACTTCTTTGCAGAACTGGGGAATTAAAAACAGACTTTCCTGATTCTATTAAATTCCCTGGTTTTACTGACGAAATTCTTGAGACCCACCTAAATACAAATGAAAACCTGACTGTTAAGAGTCAAGGTGTAGATGAGCTACGGTACCGGTTTCTGGAAGATGCTGCTATCAATACGAGTCAGTAAATGCAACTTTCAATATACGTTCATTAGATATTTATTTCATTTAATATATTTTAAGTGTCTTGAGTGCACACGCTAATAACGAGCTGAGCCCCATGACACAAAATGAGGCCTGCAGTAACAGTAGTTTAGTCTCCCTGTATGACTGTAAAGAACAATTTTGGCCAGTAGTGAAAATGTCTATTAAAATTATATAATGCTATACACAGTATTTTCCTCTTACCTGCAGAGGAAACTTGTTTTAATCTGCTCAGATCCCGTGTACTTAGTGAGCAGTGAAAGTGTCAAAAATGACTGTTTTTTTTTTTTTTTTTCTGACCAGGAAAAGTACCCATTTTTTTTCTTGTTTGTTTGTTTGACAGTCTCTGGTAAATACCGGCTTTGCCTCTGTGTACCCACCTTGCTAAAGATTAATGCAGCTCAAAAGGACAAGCTTTCTTTATGGTTTTACAATGTCAGCTTTATTTTACCGTGCTTGTTTGCAGAGCTTCCCTGTGGGTGGGGAGGAAAGAAATACTGCTTTGAACTTGGGGATTTTGTCTGTTTTCCAATGGCAGAGTTTGCTGCCTGCCTCTGAAACCCCGTTCTCAGGTCACTGCTTCCCTCAGCAACAGGCTTCCAGTTGCCAAAAAGTCTGTCCATGACTAGGTGAACTCATCAGGATATCGGTGACTGCAAGAGCTCTTGAATCTTTAATAAATGAGGATAAATAAATAAGAGCAAGTGCCTTGCAAACAACACTTACCATGTAGACCGGTTTGTGTAAACCAGGATTTTGTAGGGTGGGAAGAGCTTTTTGCACTGGTGTTTAAACTGGGAAGCTGCTGATTTCGAGAAGCGAATGATGCCCTTTAATCTTTTACAGAACCCCAAAACGAAAGAGCAGATTGAAAACTTGCTGCAGGCTGGAAAGCACAAGGAGCTGCGCGATCGCCTCTGCAGCCGGCTGAGCTTCGGGACCGCCGGGCTCCGCTCGGCCATGGGAGCAGGTTTCTGCTACATCAACGATCTCACCGTGATCCAGTCAACCCAGGTACGGTCCGGAGCGGCGCAGGAGGGAACCTGAGAGATTCCACACTCACCATTGGGATCGTGTAACGTTCCCTGAAATACAAGCTGGGGAGCTTTCCCACAGCAGCCTTCGGGCAGTATCGGGTGATAGCATGAGATGTTTTAGGACTAGAAGGAAATTAAGTAGCTGGAGCAGGTTCCACTGGACATTCTGGGAGGCAGATTGCAGTCCCTTCAACTGGAATTGGGCCAGTAGCTGAAGCCTATTTTACTGCTCTGAAATTGGAAATCATTAGCTGTCGTAAGAACCTTTAGCATTCAGCAGCGAACAAAAGCCCACCTTCCAATCAAATCAACACTCCCTTTCATTTTTAGCTCCAGTTGTGAACAGCTATGCAAAAAAATAGCCCCATGTAAGTGTATCGGGTGTTTTAGCAGACAAATGAACAGGAAGTGAGACGAATATATAGACTACTTGTGCACATCATCTGTGCTTAAACCAGTTTCCTTGTGGGCTAGGCTGCCAGTAATAGCAGAGCAGTATTATCTAGACTGGATAGCTGTAAAAAAGTACTGCTGTTAGGCATACTGGCATCACTGTAGCTTTTTTTTTAGTAGAGCTAAAAGAAATGTGTTGCAGACATGAAGTGAATCTCAAAAAAAATTATCATGTTACACAAATCGCTGCATCAGAGATGGTTGATTTGTGTTTTATTTATGATTTAATATTGCACATTTGGATTAGAATTCTTTGCTAAGAAAGCAGTGTAAACATTTGTTTTACCCTCTTGAGGAGCAGTTCTTCCAAGTTGATAGCAGAATCCTTTGGGATGGACCTCCGGACTTGGATATACACAGGGAGATCTTGGAGCTTTAACGTAGGTGCTTGGCTCTTGACCCATTTCAGTAGCTGTGTGTTGTGTCCAGGGAATGTGGCACTGCTGCCAGGTTGAGTAGGGAATGACTGTAGCACATTCATATTTTTAATTATCTTTGTGTTTAGCTATACTTCAAGTTGTTAGTCTTACAACTATACAATTACAGCGACAGCTAGTGCTGTAACCCAGGTGGTTTCGTTTTGGGAATAAAATCAAAAAGGTTTTCTGAGCTGGCTCTTCATGCGGGGTGAAGTTTTGACTTTACTTGAACCCATTTTTAGTTTGCTTTGACTTGCTGTTTAAATTGCTTAACAACCAGAAACACAACTTTCTGGAAGCTCCATGTCCATGTGAGGAAGAACTTCCTTGGTGTGAGGGTGCCGGAGCCCTGGCACAGGCTGCCCAGAGAGGCTGTGGAGTCTCCTGCTCTGGAGATCTCCAACCCGCCTGGATGCGCCCGGGTGCCCCGTGCTCTGGGTGTCCCTGCTGGAGCAGGGGCTGCACGGGGGGATCCCAAGAGCTCCCTGCCAACCTCAGCCCCTCTGGGATCCTGTGTGACTTGTTGCTTCAAATGTTTTGTACCCTCCTATCTTCTGTCTTGGCTTTGCTCTGGTGTGGTAGAAGGAGGATGGAAGATGACTTGGCTTTTGCCCATCTCCATCTGTTTGCTCTCAAGCAACATGAGTGAGTTGTACACACGTTGATTATCCAAGTAAATCAACTTTTTGATTTTATAAGACTTAATCCCCTCTGCTCTTCTTTGCAGCGCTGTTTTGTTCAGGGTAGCTTTCTAAACCCTTTCCCAAGGAGCTTGGTCTCCTGTTGTCACGTTTTGAGGTATAACATTGATTTATCTTGGGTGGTGCTCATGTTAAATTCTCATTCTTGACTTTGATAGACACTCCTGCACTTGCTCTGCTGCAGTAACTGCTAAGGAAAAAGCACTTGAGTAGAAGAATTAAAAACCTAATCTGAAAACATGCAGCATGAGTTAGGAAATGGATATTCCATTGCTCCTGTCCTCAGGAATGTACTAACCAAATACAAGTTGGCTTGAATGGGGAATATTAACAATACCTCAACACCTTATCTGCCCACACCCGTCTATGAAAGGTCCAGCGAACTACAGTATATGTTTAACCATTTAATATACCTGGAATATCAGTAAAAAGAACAAGTTTTCATTACGATAAAGCTATTAAATCTTATCTACTTTATCAGCTTATTTTTTTATGAATGGAACTTCAGCCCTGAGAGAAAACCTGTTTTACTACATGATTTATGAAGGGTTACTAAAATCTGTCATTGTAATACTGTCTAGTAATAATCCTCTCTTTCCTGGCTAATACTCTCATATAAGTCCCTAAATAGATAAAAATGAAATAATTTGTTTTCTGTCGGCTCAAAGTGGTGCTTAAAACCTGGAGCAGCCAGGACTCTGTTAAAGCTGTTTGGCGTATTAGCAGTGCCTACATTGGACAAGTGCAATCCAAACTTCCCTTGGTAAAATGGAGTTCCAATAGCTGCCGTTTATACGTGCATTTAGAGGAAGAGCAGTAGCATTTTGGAGCATTTGAACATTTTGTTTCCAACGGTCCCTTTGCGTTTTGGCCAACGTGGTCTGTTGAATTTGTTGCTGCTCGTGCCCCAAGTGCCCCCAAATTGGCGGCTGCTCCCGTGTTTCGGGTCTCCAGGCGGCGTGATGGAGTGCGGATCGGGCGGCCCGTCGGCAGCCTTGGGAAAAGGGCAGTGGTCAGCAGGGAATCGCGCCACGATTCGGCTCCCTGCGCCTCCGAGGTCGCCCAGAGCTGCAAACTGGCCGGGACTCCCTCGCCCGCCCCGTAGAGCTTCTATTTTTAGTTGTTTATCGAAGCAGACGATCGAGTTGGAAAAAGCAGTCTCCGGGACCCAGATTAAACCTTGTTTCTGAAGTAAATCACACCAGCTTTAATCTGCTCATTTGTGTATTTCTAGTCCTCTTCTTCCAGAGCCTAATGACATGAGAAGAGTCCTTATCTGAACCTTAGCTGGAAGGGGGTAACCTTGTCTCTCCAAATCAGTGTTTATCTGCTGCAGGAATAAATGGTTGTTCAAAAGAGACGTTAATGTAATCAAATATATATATATATTTACTTAAAATAAGTCTTAGTTAAGATGCATGTTTCAGTGCAAGCTGTGTTTTCCATTTGCATGGTTATATATTGACTGATACTGTGCAGAATCAAATTCCGAAAGGCCTAAAATATCTAGAAGTTACTTTTGACTCTTCTGATGATCATGGATGCAGAAAGCCTAGATTTTGCTGCTCAAAAGCAGTTGAAAGCTCTAAATACAGGACTTCATAAAGCTGTCGATACCTCTTTGATCACCCCGCCAAAATCTCTCCATTGCATCCCACCATTTCCCTTCTTTTTCTTTTGAAATGAATCACAGGGAATAAGCAAGATTAGTTAACACAGGGGAGTAGAAGTAGGCAAGAGCCATCTGTTCTAAGCATACAGTGAATTTTGCTTAAAAATATCCCTTGAATTGTGCAGTGGTATAAATATATGCATTTTAATGCATCATCCAGTGCAGTTTTTTACAGCAAAAACGGGAGTGTTTGAGGAAGGAGGAAATAGAAAGCTGGGAGACATAGAAGGCTGCTGGCATTAGAGGTCGCTGCATGCTCAAAAACCCTCCAAATCTGGGACTTGTCCCATTTGGAAGTAAAGGATGAAAAAGCAATTGGTGCAGAACCCTAGAGCTACCAGGGTTGCTCCGAGGTTGCCGCCTCTGCGGCCCCATTTGCGGGCCCCTGTCTGTTACTGTGGATGGATATTGGTGACATCAACTCCGATCCATAGAACGGCCTCACAGAAACTGCTTTTAGCAAAGGGAGGAAAAACCGTTCAGTCCTCGGATGACCTTTGCTGCTCAGGAGTGAGCTTGCACCCCCACGAGAAGCAGCGTTTTCCGTTGCTCCCGGATTATCGTGGAAAACGTGGTCGAAGCCTTTTATTTAAAAATGCTGCTCCGTACTGTGTAATTACTATGGTGAATTGCTGGACAGCCCCTGTCTAGGAAGGGAGGGAATGTGAAGGCCACAGGGAAGGTGAAGCTGGGGTTATTTGAAGAACACCCATCTCCCATTTGGAAAAGAGGGACGGGTGGCTGCAGGGCTGCTCGTTTTTCTCCCTTTTATGCATCGGTGCATATTTCTGTGCACCCTGTAGAGACTGACTTGCTCCATCCCCTGCCCGTGCTCAGCTGCTCTGTGCCCTTGGCCTTGGAGAGCTGCTGCACGAGACCCCACTTGTATCTGTGCTCTTGTTACTGCACCATGGGTGCAACCCTTCTCTAGCAGCAAACCCGCTTTGAAAAAGGGGATAAAGATGTGACATCCTTTAATGCAAACGCAGAGCTGGCAGCTTGGAAACCATTGCTCAAAAGATGCCTGATTTGTGCAAGGTTACCACGAGGATGAAGATGAGCCCTGACTGGTACCATCCTCGCATGCTGTGAGTAATTAAAAGAGGCTTTTACCAATGGGTGCTTTAAAAAAGATGGTTTGAATACTCGACAATACATTACAGCATGAAACCAGACATCTGCTGCTTGAGAGTTTTGCTGTTCCTACCTTTCTGTTCAGGCCGTTGGTCACTTAGAAATGCTGTATTATTTCCCTCAGCTCTTTCTCCCTTTGCTCTTTCTTTCTGTGAACACTTGGGAAAAAGAAATGTGCTCTGTGAATATCACCGAAGTCTTTGCTGCTCTGTATTCAAACCATTGACATTACGTTATTCAGTATAAAAGATGATTTTTAATATTTGTATGTTTTATAATAAAGCTCACTATTCCCTTCTTTTTCCCTCTTTCTTTCCCCAGGGGATCTACAAGTATCTTGAGAGGTGTTTTTCGGACTTTAAGCAGAGAGGCTTTGTTGTTGGATATGACACACGAGGTCAGGTGACCAGCAACTGCAGCAGTAAGAAGTATGAGTATTGATTACACTTGCAAGACTAGAAATTAAACTGTGCCTTTGAGCCCAAATATGAATTCTGTTCTCTGAGAATGTCTTTACGTCATGAAGCGCGCATGCTTTTTCTCCTCTCTTTAGCCCATTTTAATAATAATGGGGATTTGCAAGGTCTGAAGCCTTGCAGTGCCTGTTGTCTTGCAAAGAGGGAGTGTAAGACTGGGCACTGCAAAAAAGAGCTTGCAGTCTAAATGTACGAGAACATTAGGCAGACATTGAGAGGTTGATTTGCCTCAGAAAAATTCAGAAATTCAGAAAAATCTGAATTGAAGGTAAATTCAGAATTCCAAAACCTCCTGTGAACTCATGTGATGTTAATGCACTGTGGTTAACACTGTCCTTTTTTTTTTTTTTTAATATATCTATGTATTGCACATCTACCTTCAGCTCGCTCTAATCCCATGTTTTGGTCCTCGCTGTGGTAACCTGTGATCCCAGTGTGTTTCCACGCTGGGAATCTCATAACTGGACTGCTTAAAATGTAAATGTGGGTGATGTGAAACATTCGCAGGGAGGGGAAAGAGAGGGTTGTTCAACCAAGAGGCCAGACTTTCAAGTCTGATCTTTATATGCCTGTTATCCACCAGCCTTTGTATAAAGGTTGTAAACATTATATTGGATTTGCAGGTACTGTTATCCAGGCGGTTTGGATTGTACACAGCTGTAAAATGTAGGTGTTATGGGGAAATGCCCCTTTCCAGCCTCCCAAAGCTCATAATTCTCACTTCATAGCGGCGCATTCTTAATTTTTCTCACAAAATGCAGCTTAAATTCACTTGAATTTTCTCGCATGAGAAGAGCAGTTCTTAACCACGTGCTTTTTTTTCCACCTCCTTGTCTTGCCCCATAGCCACACAAGTGTTAAAATCAAATCGAGCCCCCACAAAAGTGTTTTCAGTCAAATCAGCTGGTGCACCCAGGTCTCCCTGTGTCTGTGTGAGCTCTGGTGCCTGGTTCTTGCCCCAGTGCCTGTGCTGAGGGAGGTGGCAGAGCTCCTGGCAGTCACCAATAGCTACGTTGGCATAAGCCACCTGTGAAACACAAGCCAGACAGTAACTTCAGCAGCTCCAGCTACCAGCAGAGCCCTGGAAAGCTCTTAAGTGGTTCAGGTTACATTTAATAGGTGCTGTAGTGAAATTCGGAGCAACTGAAAGGTAGACTGTTATAGTAGACTCATCCTGTAAAATGAGAAATTAAGTATTAATGTTTGTCTGCAAAGTAAGTGAGCAAAATAAACTTTGGTGTAACCTCTCATCTGTTTTGCCTCTCTGAGCAAGACTTTGTGTTAGCTGCTGAGCTGTGCATGCCTGCCTTGAAAAGAGCAGCTTCCTATCAAGCTGTTACGTGAAAGGGAATTAATATGCCTGCTTCTCAGGAGGAAGAAATGATTTTAATAGCAAGACTTAAAAGTGCAGGGCTGTAACTGTTTCTAAACTGACTGGTGGTTTTAATATCACTGGCTAATTGACAGTGTTGTCTTGTGTCTTCAGGCAAAACGATAACTCATCTCAGATACCGTAAGCTTAAAACTGTGTGTATTGACAGTGCACGCTGTAGGATGCAAAATTTAATGTAATCCAAAAAAAAAAAAAAACACTGTGGGGAAGGAGGAGATAGGAGAAATGAAGGTTATGGAAATGCCACGTGGCTCCTCGGTTGTCGCGGGGAGTTGGGCTCACCCAGTGTTTTCTTCCTGCTGTTGACAGGCTTGCCCAGCTCACTGCAGCAGTGCTCCTGGCTAAGGACGTGCCCGTCTACTTCTTCTCCACGTACGTCCCCACGCCCTTCGTGGTGAGTTGGCAGCACCTCCTTTGTATGGATGAACAAAATGGAGAGCTTGAAAGTCTGCTGAAAATGGAAGCTAGTAATTCGCTTCTCAAATTCCAAAATTGAAATGAGGGGATGTTGGGACCACTTGGCTCTTCAAGGAGACTGTAAAAAAAATCACTAAATTCAGTGTGCGAATCATAGAATCATAGAATGCTCAAGGTTGGAAGGGACCTCGTGAGGTCATCTAGTCCAACCCCCTGCACACGCAGGGTCACCTAGAGCACGTGGCACAGGACTGCGTCCAAGCGGGTTTGAAGATCTCCAGAGAAGGAGACTCCACAACCTCTCTGGGCAGCCTGTTCCAGTGCTCTGGCACCCTCACTGTTAAGAAATTTTTCCTTAAGTTCCTGTGGAACTTTTGGTGTTTCAGTTTGTGGCCATTACTTCTAGTTCTGTCGGCGGCCACCAGTGAAAAGAGGCCGGCCCCATCCTCCTCACTGCCTCCCTTGAGGTACTTCTAGACACTGCTCAGGTCCCCTCTCAGCCTTCTCTTCTCCAGCTGAACAGGCCCAGCTCCCTCAGCCTCTCCTCGTAGGGCAGATGTTCCAGGCCCCTGATCATCCTTGTAGCCCTGCGCTGGACTCTCTCCAGCAGCTCCACATCCCTCTTGTCCTGTGGAGCCCAGACCTGGACACAATACTGCAGATGTGGCCTCACCAGGGCTGAGTAGAGGGGCAGGATCCCCTCCCTTGACCTGCTGGAGACGCTCTTACTTACGTACCACTTTTCAACTTAAGCATTTCTGTACTGGAGTGATACTCCAGTCCAGGCTCTGCTATATCAGTTATAGGTGACACCTTTTGCTGTTGTTTTATTCTGTGCTTACAAATTTAAGTGTCTTAGGGACTGATAAGGGTCATGTATACAATTTTCAAATGAGCTAGTGAAATATTAAGAGCCAAATTTCCCGGAGCATCCTACGGGGAAACTGTCCTAATAACATAATTATCCTTTTGTCACCTGCCACATTGTGGTTTAATTCATGTAACTTTTTTCCCCATCCAGCCCTATGCGGTGCAGGAGCTCAAAGCTGTTGCTGGAGTGATGATCACAGCATCCCATAACCCGAAGGAGGACAACGGATACAAGGCAAGTCCCAGGCTTGAAGTAACATCCTTTTGGAGACTTTTCAATTATGTGTTTTATTCCTCATACTGGCATGTAAAATGACACTGTTTGTGTGTCTGGAGCGTCAGGCTGTGACAGTCCATAGAACCCAGCAGAGAAGTGCTCAAACAATCTATAACGTGCCCATTTCTTAAATTTAGAAGTGAGATCAAAACTGAACAAAAACTTCATAAATTAATTGGTCATCACAGTAGGTCACTGTGCTGAAAGTGCTGACAATTTAATAGTTGATTGATTAAACTTTAAATTACAATTGTGTTCCCCATAAGATGTTTTGTGTGGGCAGTGGGGGACACGTGGCTTAGTTCTACTTCACCTTTTGAAAGCTTGGAGCAGTGTAGTCATCTGTGCTAGCAAATGGTGGTTGGGAACTACTGTAACAGGTTATTCCTCCCTTTTTTAAAACTTTTGGAGGATCTGAACCAAAACCTAAGCATTAAAAGTTAAACATGGCCTTGAAGAAGCTGTTTAACAGGCAGTGAGTGCTGGTAGTGATAAGAAATACCAGTTACATTACACTGCATGTGAGTAACCCATGGGGAGGTGACTGCACTTGTCCTCTGTGGAACAAGTTGTGAAGAACTTCAACTCTGCAAGTGAATGAGAAGACAAGGCACATCATTTTTTCAGAGTGCTTCATTTATATTTCTGTCTTTTGATAGAAAAAGCATTTACTTTTGTCAGGGTGTCTTTTATTTCTTCTCTTTCACACATACACACAAAAGTTTTCATATTCCACCATTTCCCAACTCAACAACCTCTGAAGGTTTGGACAGTTTTAACTAAACATGACAAAATCGTAGTTGGAAAGGTGCTGTGTGTGCCTGGGGTTTTCATCAAAGGCTGCAGTCAGCAAAAGAGAGATTGTTCTGAGCAGAAAGTCTGCACTGGGAACTCGACCCTGCATTTGGAAACAGAATTACAGGAAAATAGACATCTTGATAATTCTTTAACAAAGACCTTTTTTTTTAGGCTTTATAGTGCTTCTAGTTGAAAGGTTACAGTTGTTATGGAAAAAAATGTGCTTTGGCCTGCTGCTTATCTGTCTTGCTCTGGTTTTGAAAACAAGTTGTTCTTTTTTTTTTTAAAGGCATGTGAAGCTATGTAGAAAGAAACATTTTTCTCCCACTATGCTTTGCACAATACTGTCAGATGTGACTGCCTAGCACCAGGTTCTCATGTGCTGATGATTTCAGCCATAATAACTGGAAAAACAGCATTTTCAAAAGTAGGTTGTGTTCCTGAATAGCAGTTGTCACATAATTGAAATCATAAACCCGTGTGATCCCAAATGGCTTTTGAGAACTGAGCCTGTTTGTTGTGGGTCTTTTCTGTGTAACTTCAAGAAGCCAGAAACGCATGAAATCTTCTGTCTAAAAAAACTTGCAAAGTTAATAATCTTTGTAATAAATTTTTTACTTTGTTTTCCTTAAATTTGTCCTAGGTTTATTGGGAAAATGGAGCACAGATCAAATCTCCTCATGATAAGGAAATTATAAAATGTATAGAAGAGTGTGTGGAACCGTGGAATGGCTCTTGGAATGAGAATCTGGTAGACACCAGCCCCCTTAGACGAGATCCTCTGCAGAAAATTTGTGACTGCTATATGGAAGATCTGAAAAAGATCTGTTACCATAGGTATTGTATGAAATAAAACTGTAATTTCAGCACAAATAAGTGAGCTGTGAGATGCCACCCAGTAAACCGAGTGCTGAGAGATGCAACTTAGACTTTAATATTAAGATTTAAGGTGCTTTTATACACAAACATTTTGGATTTGGGTTTAGGCCTTGGGTTGTCTTCCAGAGGCTTCATAGTTTCCAACCTACACGTAGGGCTTCTTATTGCCATGGATCAGTGACTTGATTCCTGCCTTTTGGTTCTCAAAAGTCGGGTGCTCCACCCTGCACGGGGACATCTGCGCTGTTGTTTGGTGCTCTTCATTGGGGGCAGAATTTAGAGTCATCTCCCTGTTTTTATTCCATAATTCTGTAGTGGGTCACTCTAAATCATTAGGACCAGATCATATTTCTACAATAATTTTCTGGTTTGAGACACAAGTCCAGCCACTGTCTTTGGACACCAGGCTACACTAATGCACCCCGTTATGAGCCCTGATGCACAAATGAATGTTTTCAGAACTGGGAAAAGCAAAATAATAAAATGTTGAGATTCAGAACAAAGGAGTGAGGTTTACAGGGTGAAATAGCAATGAAATGGTTCATGGTTATGGAGGACTGAAGAAAATAGGGAGCAGAATGAGCAGTGAAGGTGGAGTAGAGTTGGAGTAAGATCTTCAGGATGGCAGAAGAGCTCAAGTTTGTTGTAGAAGTTAATGGTTCCATTTGGGAGGATTTACAGCAGCTCAGTAGAACGTGAATATTCTGTCCACTACAGGGAGAAGCTTCAAGCCAGCAATTTCTAGTGAATGTCCAAATAAGCCCGTTTCACTTCTTTCTTTGAAATTGCTGCTGACATCAGCAGAACAGGACAACATATAATTGTGTCTTTTTTTTTTTTAATTTGCTTTTCCACATGAAGACAGTGTTGTGAGATAACTAAAATGTTCCTTTTTTTTTTTCCTTCAGGGAGATAAACATGCAAACAAACCTGAAGTTTGTGCATACCTCGTTTCACGGCGTTGGACACGACTACGTGCGTTTGGCGTTCCAAGCCTTCGGCTTCCAGCCCCCCATTCCAGTACCTGAACAAAGAGACCCAGATCCAGACTTCCCTACTGTCAAATGCCCCAATCCTGAAGAAGGGGAATCTGTGCTGGTATTTTTGTTTGTACTTCATTATATATATTTTTATATTTCCGTGGGCTTTCTATTCTTTGGATATGATCCTGTGACAAAAACAAAGCTGGGAAGAGAACAGGTAGCAGCTTGTTTCCAGCTGTGTCAATGCAGTGGGCAATCCATGCGAGATTTTCTTTTACTGCATAATATAAGTAAGGACTATGACTATGTGTTTAACTGACTTTGGTCTGTTTTCCCTCCTCACACCAGGAGCTGTCCCTGAGGCTTGCAGAGAAAGAAAATGCTAGAGTAGTGGTGGCCACTGATCCAGATGCAGATAGGTTAGCAGTGGCAGAGCAGCAGAAGTAAGTAGTGGGGCCTTTTGTTTTATCTCTCCCTGAAGAAAAGGCAGTGAAAATCACTATGTGTTCCAACAAGATGGACAGATCCACCCTTTAAAACCACTCTTTACTGTTGCAAATTACCTATTGGGATATTTTTCTTGCTAGGCTCATCCTTTGCAGTAGCTCAAGTTTTTTTTTTCAAGTCTTTTTGTAGCTCAAGCTCAAGTAAAATCAGTTAATAACCTGAAAAAGATGGGGTGAAATAGTTACCAGTATCACAGTAAACAACCAGATAAAACTTTACTGAAATGTTGAGTGGTTGTTAAAGACTGCTCTTCTTGTCTCTGCTTATTGGCTTCTAATAGACAAAGAAATACTGCCTTGGGGTAGTTAATGATGTGATTTTTTTTTAACCTTCTTCGTACTGAATAGAAATTATTTTTCTTTCCTGCTAACAGGCCCAAATTCTGGTCATTGTGTAAGTAACTGTCTGTAACGTGCAGTAGCACAGGTATTGCCTAAAACCAAAACCTTTGGCTGCCCTACCTGTGTCTGATAAGTTAAAAAAAAAAAACCTCAGCTGTTCCAAAGTTGATAGTAAGGAAATGTAAGTGGTATCTTTGCCTGCAAAGAGATTGCACTGGGCTTGTTAGTCATCGAGATGTGATCATGTGGAGTCCTGTTAGTACCATGGCTTCTCTTTTTAGAGCAGCTTGTCCATAGTGTGCTCAGATTCCTGCTCCAGTGACAGCAGAAAACACCTCTCTGGGAATAGATGCTCCTGGGGGACCTGCAAAAGCTCTGCTCTTCTCTGTCCCGTCTGCAGTGGCTGCTGGAAGGTGTTCACTGGCAACGAGCTGGCAGCTTTGTTTGGGTGGTGGATGTTTTCTCGCTGGAAGGAAAACTGTGCCCAAAATGCTGATGTGAAGGATGTTTACATGTTAGCGACCACAGTCTCCTCGAAGATTTTGAGGGCAATTGCACTTAAAGAAGGATTCCACTTTGAAGTAAGCGTGTTATTTATTTATTTATTTGTTGTTGTTTCCTCAGCAGAGTAAAATCTGATGGCCCTAATGGGTGACACAGATTAAGACTTATATCAAATGTAATGAGATGGGTTTGTCTTGGTTATTCCCCAAGAGATATTCTTCTGTGTGAGAGAATGTGAGCTTGTGGAACTGGTGAGTTTACTATGCAAATGAAAAGCTTTTTAAGGGTTTTGGGACAAAGATGTGAAGATTGCAAAATGTCCTTTCAGGTGCCCAGTTCATTGATAGGTTTTAAGTTTGATTTTACTTGAAAAATCAGAAGACAGGTGGAAGAACAGTGCTTACACTTGACCAAGCAGGCACGCTTTCTTGTTTGGCTTGAAATTGAATGGAGAAGGTTTATGTAGTGCTGCCTTTTTTTCTTTTCAGGAAACACTCCCTGGTTTTAAATGGATTGGAAGTAGAGTAAAAGATCTCTTAGATAATGGAAAAGAAGTTCTCTTTGCCTTTGAAGAGTCTATTGGTATGTATATTAATATAACTTCAAGCGTTGAGAGGCATGTGGGGGAATGTGGCTATAAAGCAGCGGTCATAGTTGCGAAAAGAAACAAAAAGTACTTGATTTCTGCTGACGAGTATCAGTAATTTGCTGTTATCAACACGCCTCCTGTCATAAACGTGGTGTATTAGCAATTATGCTTCAATCAAATCTCTCATTCTGATCCTGCTTCTGTGCAATTTCCTGAGTCAGATACAAGTTGATGGTCTCGAGGTGCCAGAGATAAACTACTTGTGTAGCTTCTTAAGCTTCTAAGTTTCTTCTTAGCCTCTTAACTGAGATCAACCTAAGATCTGTTCTTAACCAGTTACCACCTTGAGGACTAACTATTAAATGGCCTTACGGCTGCCCAGGGCCTTGCAGAAAACAAGCATGTACTTGTGTTTAGCACTGCACCGTGAGCGATTCCCAGAGATAGCAGATGTTATCTGTCCTGAGCAGATAATAGCAAATATCTGCCCAGCCCCATAATCCCTAAATTAATTAGATTTTTTTTTTTCGAAGAGGGAAATTCATATGCAGTAATAAAGACCTTAGGTTTTTTGGCCAATTTTCACTTACCTTGAAAGAGGATTGAACCTTTGCTCGAATAAATGCCTGCAGTAGTATGTGAGCTTGGCTTCCCACAACGAGCTTTGTGCTTCCAGGGTTCATGTGTGGCACCTCAGTGTTGGATAAAGATGGAGTAAGTGCTGCTGTGGTCATAGCTGAAATGGCAGCTTACCTGGAAAGCAAGAACCAAACCCTAAAACAGAAACTCACCGAGATATACGAGACGTAAGTTGTATTTTTCATCAATGCATTCTACTTCACCATTTTTGAGTTGTACATCCTCTAGTAAGTGTTTTTAGTATGTCCCTTGGGTGTTATCTCAATGTAGGTTCTACCAGTGTTGCAGGTACCACTCGAAGATCGTATATCCCAGAGGAATGAAGAGCCCTTTCCCTCTGGTGCCACCATAAGGTCCTGGGCTCTGACAGCTGCAGGATGGCAGCTCCCCTGCAGCAAATCCCCCGTGCGGGTCCCTGCGCTGCGGGCCCAGCAGGAAGGAGCAGCTGTGGGAGCACAAACAGTTCTGAGCAGCTGCCTGACATTTATGCAGGCTGAAGGGAATGAAGATGAAGGCAAAAAGGCTCTTGGGTCCTAATGGATAGAGAAATTTCTTTTATATAAAAAATATTCTAAAATATTAACTATTCTAATTTCTAAACTATTAAAATATTCTAAAATATTAAAAGTATTCTTCTGGAGGAGAGAGGGTGGAGAGGGGTTCTTAATAACATGTACGTAGAGGGAGAGTGTAGGGAGGATGGGGCCAAACTCTCCTGGGTGGTGGCCGGTGCCAGGACAAGGGGTGCCGGGGCCCAGCTGAAGCCCAGGCAGCTCCATGTCCATGTGAGGAAGAACTTCCTTGGTGTGAGGGTGCCGGAGCCCTGGCACAGGCTGCCCAGAGAGGCTGTGGAGTCTCCTGCTCTGGAGATCTCCACCCCGCCTGGATGCGCCCGGGTGCCCCGTGCTCCGGGTGTCCCTGCTGGAGCAGGGGCTGCACGGGGGGATCCCGAGAGGTCCCTGCCAACCCCAACCATTCCGGGATTCTGTAAAAGATACTTGCAGAACCGGTTTGTCATCACTGATCAGGATCGATCCAGAAGAGGTGTTGAGGGTTAGGACAACTCGTGTCCCTTGTTTGTCTTACACACTCCTTGGACACATGAATCTTGGCACTAACAAGTGTGTGAATGCGAGAGTATCAGTGGGTAAAATCGGTTTTCTTAGGTATTTTGCAAAATAAAATCACTTTTTATGACTTATGTCAAAGTGAACCTTAAACCTCACAGTGGCAAAAACAGTTTCTCTGTGTCGTGAGTGCTTGCTTAAGGCATGTTAGGGTGACATTAGTTTTAACTTAAACAACACCTTTCTCAAAGACTACTGAAATAATTCTCGCTGTGACTGCTCACACACAGCTACTGGAGTCATTTTTTGATGATTTAAATTGAAATACAGTTTGTGATGTGCTGGGGTGGAAGCTGCTGTGTATTGACTTACTGATGGTTTAGTCAAACCACTGGCTTTTATTTCTTTGGAAGCAAAACCTTTGCACTTAAAAATACCACAAGATATTTTCAGAATGCGATGAGGTCTGCTTCAGAGTCCAAACATTTGCATATGAATCTTCCCACACTTGTGCAAATCGCTGTTATTTCGTTTTACTGTTTGTTTTGCTTTTTCCCCAAACTGGATTTCCTCTAGGTAACAAGCGTGTAGAAAACTTCCGACTCTTGTAACTGAAAAAATTCTTCTGCTTGCAGGTACGGATATCATATAACAAAGACTTCCTATTTCTTGTGCTATGATCCTCCTACTATCAAAAGGCTGTTTGAGAGGCTGCGCAACTTTGATGGCCCTCAGTCTTACCCCAGGTTTTGTGGGGATTATAGCATATTACACGTACGAGATGTTACCACTGGCTACGATAGCAGCCAACCAAATAAGAAATCGGTGAGTTGGGAAATATTTTGGCAGGAGATGTTCTCTTTTGGAAGAGATTTGAGGGTTAAATACCCCAAGAACTAACAGAGAGATGCTATGGTGTCAAGCACATGGGGTATCAGCTTAGCTTGCTCTGTTACACACAGATTAATAGTGTTTACTGGGGGAAAAATCTTAGGATTTGAAATGACCTGGTTATCGCATTGCCTTTTTTGCTATAATAATGAGTGATCCTTATTAGTTTGAGTGAATTTGATGCCACAGCAGCTCGAAGTTGCAGCATTTTGAAGCAAACTGTTAGGCTGCATCTTCTGCTTTAAGGACTGCCTGGTAAGTTGAAGGCTGAACTCCTAGCACATTCCCAAATGTTGGAATCCCTCTGGGAGCAGTAGTCAGTCCCACAGAGTGAAGTATTGAGTCTGATATTGATGATGGGCTTGTCTGTTAGGCTAAAATGACTTGTTCCAGTTTGTAGGCCTGGATAGTGGATGTAGAATGCATGGGTGGGATTTTAGTGTGTTTATTTAAATGTGTGTATGCCAAGTGTTTTATTTTAAAGCTACGTGTGTGTCTGCTGGGGCTTTATGCAGGTGCTGCCGGTGAGCAAGAGCAGCCAGATGATCACGTTCACCTTCCAGAACGGTTGTGTGGGCACCCTGCGGACGAGCGGGACGGAACCAAAGATCAAGTATTACGCGGAGATGTGCGCGCCGCCCGAGCAGAGGTCAGGAACGGGCCCGCGTGTCCCCACCACAAAGTGGCATCAACCCCGAAGGCCAGGGCGGGCTCGCTGGTTCCCCGGAGGACAAGGTTCCTCTGCTGCCCCTTGGAAACCCGAGCCCTGGCTGAGTGTTGTCCCGTTGGCCAAAGGGATGCACCTGCTGATCCTAAGGGATCCTGCTGGAATTGAATCCTGAGCACCTGCTGCTACACAGGAGTTGTCCTCACTGTGCTTCATTATTCCCTTGGAATTAAAATGTTAGGGAGTTGTCCTGTTGCTGGCAGCGGATTGAATCCCAGCAGATTCCTGTTGCCTTTGGGAATCTGCTGTGTAGCTCTGAGTTAACAGATAATAGAGGTCACTCTCCTTTTAACAGCCCCCTGGAATCACTGTCCTCCAGCTTAAAAAGCGGCCCAAGAAGTGCCCAAGCGAGGCCCGATGTGGAGAGAGTATCTCAGAGAAAGGATCTGAGATACTTCGGGTCATTGCTGCTTTTGATCTTCGTTCTGGTAACAGAGGAGAATACAGTGACCTTTAAGTTCAGTAATAGCTCTAAGGAGCAGCAATTATGATTTGAAATATGAGTCTGAAATGCTTCAATATTCTGTTGTTCAAGGAATAAAACACTCTAGCTGCCCCAAAGGCAGAACTCCTCCTGTAATGGCCTTGCAAGCACATCTCCAGGTTGTTCCATACTGCTCCCTCTTAAAAGCTGAGCATCGGGAAAGTCAGTTCTGTTGTGGTGGTTTTGGGTGCTTTTTAGAAAGAAATGGTGACCTGGAAGGCAGAAATGCATTGCCACTTCCACAAGTGAGAAAAGCAGAGGTAAATAAAAACATAACCCTGCCCGTTCTTAAAACTAGACCCACTTGCCCTGGTGAGATGCACGGGACGGAACAGGAATGTGCCTCTTCCAGGTGTGCTGCAGTGCTGCTCCTTGTGCAAGTGCCTCTTTATACAAATAAACATCTGGGCCCTTCCACTGGGAAGGGATCCCTGTAAAACAGTGTCCTCCCTGGGGCTGCGACGCTTCATCCAATATTACTAATAATTGGTGCTGTGGTTAAAACAAAGGGCATCTGGAGTCTATTTCAGCTGGATATGGGGAATCTACCACTCCCATTAGTAGTTCATGCTAATTTTTTCTCAATTCTAATCTGTACATTAGAGGTTTGTCCTGCATGAGTTTTACAGCCCCTGGTTCTTGTGTTTGTGTTTTCCTGCTGGAGGAGAGACCTCTAGTGTCTGTTACTGTCCATGTCTCCTGAACAGGTAGGTGTCCCTGCTGGAGCAGGGGGTTGGATTGGATTCCAACCTCAACCATTCAGTGAGAAACAGTAGCACATTGGAGTCTTTCCACCTTGACAGCAGTATTCAAATTAATAGAGCTGCTCCATCACCATCTGATCTTGCCCTTCTGGAGCTGCTTGGTGTTAATCTCCCCTCTGTCTTCTGCTTGCTCTCTAGTGACAGAACCTTCCTTGAAGAGGAACTTCAGAAACTCATTGCAGCTTTGATTGGGAATTTCCTGGAGCCCGACAAGAACGGACTGATCTGGCGCTCTGCGTAGAGCTCCCGTGACCGGCGGTGACGCCGCGGCCGCTCGCGAGACCACGGCTCCGTGCTGTGCGTGTGTGTGTGTGTGTGCAAACAGACAGCTCCACCTCTACCTGTAGAGAAGCAGAGCTCTTTTGTCAGCTTTTTCACCAAAGCCCAGGCTCACAAACACAGGGCAAAGAAATGAAGGCAAGGGAGGGGACTCTTTAACTCGAATTTTGCATTCTTTGACCAAAAGACAAATTATACCAATGTGGATGAGCTCCTGTAGTACCTAGGAAACACCTCAAAGCAACCACTGGACTTTCTTAAGCTAATTTCTAGTCCCCAGTACTCTTGTGTGTGCTAAGGCTTTAAAAACTGATGCTCCTTGAAGGAAGTGAGCACACCAAACTGACAAAAAAAGCTACCTGCTTCTCCGTAGCTGCTGTGTGTGAATGTGGGTGTCGTTGTTACAGGTCTTAATTTACAAATACGTTGAAGTAGAATTCAGTGCTTAGGATTTCCTGTTCAGGCAAGTTGTTCCCGTAGGACTTTTTTCAGCCGCATAAATAACTGTTGTTCGAGGTGCTCTTGGTGCTTGGTGGTTTCCTCTGTGTATCTGAAAACGTTTACTCGATGGCACAACCATAGTGGCCCCGCGTGCAGTCCGGTGTTGGAACGACATGGTGCCTTCACGGAGCTTCCAGGCGAGTAGAAACTGCCCCGTTTCTTGCTTAAACACCCTGTTCCTCCTACTGTGGGCTCAAGAATCACTCGTGTCCACCTTTTCCCATCCCTGAAGGAACTTGGGACTTTTTTTAATAGAGCTTTTGGGAATTCGGTCACCAATCAGTGACTTTTTCTATTTTTTAATGACTGGAATTCTGGGTCTTGCATATAAGAGGTGGAAGAGGGCTGAGATGAGACACTGACCCCTTTTACTTACTTTTACTTACCCCTTTTATTGTCCCACCTTGAAAACTAATTTCTGTTAGAATAGCAGTTTACAAATATTACTGTTGTTTATCATTTAGGGCAATTTTTTACTATTTCCAGTTATCTGTTTTCTACCTCTGCTTGAGTAGAAAGTGATGCTACTATTTTTTTTCCCAAAAAATAACCTTTTGGCATAGAAAAGCTGTGAAAGCTCTTTTGCCCAAGACAACACATTTAGAAAAACTGCCTATTGCTTAACTGTGACCAGCACTTTGAACGTGTGCTACTAAATTACAACCAGAAGCCTCCAGAACAAGGTGAGTGCTGATCACGACGCCTGTCAGCAGACGCAGCCGGACTCCAGAGCGAAGAATGCACTTATTTAAAAACACTGTTTTGCCACTATGGTTAAATCTCTTCAATTTGTCCTCCGTCTTGTTATACCCTTGCAGCTCGATGCCAGAGGAGTGTGCAGAGGGCTTGTGTGAGCACTGCATCTAGATGGCTTCCAAGAGCACCGAGGCTTCCGTATCTGTGCGGGTACTGGGTATTTCTTGCTGACAGCAGCTTTGCACTATAACTGTGGTTAAGTATTTTGCTGTACATGAATGTATATGTGTCCTGCAGAAGGCGTGTTGCACAAATTCTTATTTGCCACCCCTATTTATTTATTTTTTATTTTAAGAGATGTTTCCACGTGGTTCTGCAATTGAATGAAATGTATCTAATGCCAAAAAAAGACTTTTTTTTCTGTTGTTCCTTGATTGTATATTTGACTGATGTGGTGGGGAAAACGAAAGCATTTGAGCTCTGAGTGTGCTACGATATAGCACAGCTTTGAGGGGGTACCAAGGGGTGCCAAGTGCTGCTTTGCCTTCAGTTCCTGCAAGAAAGTGCAGGTTGGGATCCCGCTCTCGCTCTGCTGGAGGCAAAGGAGCTTTCACAGTTTGTTTCCTTGGTAGACGCCTCGAGGCCTTGGATGATTTTGCTTTTAAATAGCCTCCTAACAGCTCAGAACAAGACACTTGCTTTTGAACAAAGCTAAACCCTGCAAAAAAGCTTCAGGTAGGTGATGAGGCCCCGTCTGGGCTCTCCTGCGTTAGGTCCTGCAAAGAGCAGGAAGCTGCTGTTTTCCCTAGGAGGCTGCTCTGTATCCATATGCTGGGATTGTAAATGCAGCATAGAGCAAAAATATGCCTGTATTTTGAGTTGGGCCACCGTTCGTGGTGAAATATCTTCATTAAAAGCATGCATGAGCAGTTAAGTACCCGGGGTGGAGGCCCTTGTCTGAGCAGTTTGGTAGGGATGCAGTAGTGCTTTTGGAAGGACAGGAACAGGCACAACATGTTGAATGTATTCTTAGGGTATAATAGCTCTTGCTGTTTTTTAAACTGCTGCTACCGTTGTTCTCCTGTTGTATTTGAACTGTTTGATATATTTATACTGTTCCGTTTGGGGAACCTGTTTCCTTTCCGCCCGCTCCAGCCTTGCCTCCCTTCCCTTCCCAGCTGTATTGCTCTCATTTCAGTGCTCCGTAACTTTGTTATTTGCAGTGTTGGAGCTTCTGGGACTTTGTGCACAAGCTTCTTGCAGTCCTAGTTGGTTCTTTGCTGCTTTTCTAAGAAGAACAAAAGCTGGCGAGGCCGGAGCAGGAGGCAGGGAACGGATCCGCACGCGCCTTTGCAGAGGCCTCTCTGCACCAAGTCAGCACCTTCAACTGGAACCAGCCCCCCAACTCGTTTCCTATTTAGTATTTGATAAAATCAATTTAATTTTTGTCTTTTTTCCCTTTTTGATGTGCTGGGCTTGCTCTGCCTCCCTCAGCTGGGTGGTAGCTGGGATCCTGCCCGAGCGGTTTCCTCGTTTCCTTAATTTTGGATAGTTAGTGCATGTGCACGCGTTATTCCCTAGCCTGGTCAGGTTGTGCTCCGTGGCCTTACGGGACAACCTGGATCCAAACCTGGACATGGAAGAACCGATTCCAGGGCAGGGAGGCCCCACAACACCGGGTTGAGAGCCCTTAGTCCCACCAGGGGTTTCCTCAGCCCGTTTCACCCGGCTGAGCCCAATTTTGTCATGCATTAAATGCCGTTTCTTTAAAAAACAAGAACAAAGATGAACAAAATTGCAAATTAATCGGATGCTCCCTTTAATTTGAAAGCTACCCTTGTCAACATTTCATCCTGCCCCCTGCCCCTTTCTCCTCTTCCATTCCCAGAGTACGAGACGGGAGGTGTTTGGTGATGCCTTGGTGAGCCCATCCCGATCTGGAATTCCCGACACGCAGTCGGTTTTATGTCCTCCTCCCGCTGCGTGTCCCAAAGTAGCTCCGTACCCAGGGGCTGAAGGTGCCGTGTCCTTGTCCAGCTGTAGCTCCTGCTCCCGCTTCTCCAGCGTCTGGTCCCCTGTAAGACTAGGGCATGTTAGAAACGCGGAGTGAGAATTTTCCCTTTTCCGAAGTACTTCTGTGTGTTTTGCGCTGTGGATTTAGCCGAATGAAGTGGTGTTATCAATAAAACGTTCTCTTCGTAGTAGCAATCCATCCCGTCTCCGTGTTCTTTAGTCCAGCGGTGTGACCCGGGATCGGAGCCGTCGGATCGACCCCACGTTGGTGGAGAAGGGACCACACGTGGCTCTGGCACAGGGAAACGGGGACAAATGGGAAAGGACCTGGCTGCAGGGCCAGGGGGTGGCTGGCACGGACCGTCCCCGCAGCCCGGTGGGGATTTCAAAGGAACCTGGAGGGGGGACATCCACGTTGGGTTTCCCTGGGAACACCAGGGTTTCCCGAGGAGCCTGCTTGGAAGTTCAGCCCTGCTAAACCAGCCATGTCCCCTCCAAGACGGCCCCGGGTGGGACCCTAAGGACAAATGCACCCGAATTGGCCGCCGGTGCCACCGCGAAGCTGGGGGACGGGTGGATTGGGGCGCAGGGCTGAGAGGGACCTGGTGCTGCCGGAGAGGGGGAGTTAGTGACAGGGACACCAGGCTCTGGCAGCCGCCCCGTACGGGAATGCTTCCTTATTCCCTCTCATCAGGTGGGAACTGGAGGGAAAACCCTGCTCCGCGTCCGCTCTCCCGGCCCAGGACACGTTCCCAGCTGCCCTGAAGGCTTTTGGGGCTAACGGAGACTGTTGTCACCTTCCCAAACAGGGACATGAAGGTGCAGGAAGAGAAGAAGGTCCCTGGGCTCCAACCAGAGATGCAGCTCGGAAGGAGAAGAGCTGCCCTGGGCACCGTGAGGGGCGGCCTGTGCCCGGCCTCTCCGGCAGCTCTCCAACCCCGGC